TATATTAGTGCTTCCTCAGCAATAGAATTTTGTGCAATTAATGGCACCAACCATTTATCACCCCCTTGATTTTTAATTCATTGTTCACTCATTCACTACTGCTTGAGCTTGTTGCTAAACCTCCCCTCTGTGTGTTTTGCTCACTGCTGTGCCTTTTTTTCTTTCTCAAAGCTGATTGTGGCTGTGGAACACGATGAAATTCCAAGGCTCAAAGCTCTGTATGAGAGGGGGCTGCAAAACAACGTCCCGGGGTTGAAACTCATCGGAGCCAAGGAAATCCAGGAGAAGGAGCCYTTCTGCAGGGTGAGGGATTGCCATTCTTTCCATTAATTGAAAGATCTCTGTTTCTCAGGTGACACAGTTTTTTTAATTGAATATAAATATTTTTATATAAATACATATATATGTATAAATACATATGTAATATATATATTATATATAAATAAACTTGAGGTTCAAGTTCAGAGGAGCCTGAAAATTCCTTCCCATCTGTAAGTGTGAATTTGAATCAAGCCAACATCAGTGCAGTTGGTGTGGTTGTAGCACTTCTCAGCCTGTTTATTTTCCCAGCAGAAGTGTGTGGAGTTTCTGAAATACAAATTTATTGTTGATTAATCTTAGTTTGAAAGGAGAACCCGGATACAAATTCCCTGTGCTGTTTCATCTGGCAGCTTGCTCTGGTGCAGCTCTGTGACTTACGAGTGCTTGTAGGTAAAGACAGACATTTTCTTAAAAATTATCTTTTAAATCTTTTTTCTTTCCTGTAAACATTTTGGTTCTGCTCCCTAAAACATGTTCCAGATTCAGCTGAGCAARTGGGGAGACAGCAGCACTCCCTTCTCATGGCAGTGCAGATATTCCAGATGAAATATTCCAACCTTTTCTCTTCCTCTGTGTCTTTATTTCCCTTCCAGGGTCTGATGGCCCTTGATTCTCCCTACACTGGGATTGTGGATTACAAACAAGTGGCCCAGTCCTATGCCAGAGACTTCCAGGAAGCAGGTGGGACCATCTTGACTGATTTTGAAGTCACAAACATGGAGATGGCCAAAGAAAGTTCTCCAGAAAGTGAAGATGGTAAGGCTGGGTTTTTTTCCCTTCCATTCACTGCAAAGATTTTGTTCAWAACATGTTTGTTTTAACTGAAATGACATTTCTGAGCCTTTCTCTCTGCTAAGGTTGAGAAAAAAAGGCAAAATTATCTCAGTGAGAGCATTTAGCAAACTCACTTTGGGTTTTTTTTTTTTTTTTTTGCAGGCAGGTTACCCTTCAGCTGAAACATTTAAAGCTGATGGAAGAAAGTGATAATAAAATTGAGAAATTAGGTTCTTCTCTTAAAATGTGCATGTGTATTCTTGTGATAGTGATTTTGCTTACCCTGAAAGTTGGCTGGATCTGTGCTGGCACACAGAGGGAAGAATAAAAACCCTATTAATTAATAAATACAGTCATGTCCAACAACATTAATTATGACAACTGTAGTTCCATAGCTTGGAAGATATTCCAGAGGAAAAATTCCTGGTGGTAAGCTGCTTGTTCTGTCAGTTCCCTGCTGCTTGTTCTATTAATTCCTTCTCTTATTTAATTTTGTTTCAGGACTGAAATACCCAGTTATTGTTAGGAACAAAAAGGTAAGAATGAAGTTGGAGTTTTAATTCCTTACAGGAAGCTGCTTCTACTTGTGATTTTTTCTGGAGTCCCGGTGGATTAATCATCTCCAAAAAAAAGGGTTAAAAAGCTGCTGTTCAGCAACATGATCAGTTTGATAAAACAACTGCAATCAGTTCTTAAATTCAAATTTAAAATAATAGTAATAATGTAAAATAATAAACTATAACATTCTGCTGCCTAATGTTTCATCTCCCTTATCTGCTTTATTTGCACAATMYGATGCTTGTGTTTCCAAGGACTCCTTTTATGACTTGTTCATTTGGTGACAAACACCCATTTTCATGTTTGCTTTTGGGCTCTGGCATCCATAAAATGATAAGGAGGCTTTTAGCATCGTTTTATTGTCATTTTATCATCAGAACTGATTCAGTAAAACAGGTGCTGCTCCTGCAAGTCAGAGCTGCCCAGAAATTGTGGTTGGCACCTCTTCACCTTCAGGAGGGAGAATCTGGACCAAAAACCACCTTACAACCATTAATTTAATTTAAATCCCTTTTAAAATTTAGTTCTGCTGTTTTTTTCTTCTAGTTTTGCTCTTTCAATATAAAGTAGCTTCTGAAATCTGTTCGATTTTGCCATCGAATACTGATTTTTTTTTTTTAAATACAAATATTTTTTAGTTTAGGAAAAAACCCTGTGGTATTTAAAAACAAATATTGTGAGCTAAATAAATAGATAATAGTTGGTGATTTTATTTATTTATTTAGATGATAAGGTGTTTAATATTTAGCAGCTCTCCATACGTGTGTGCTGTGAATTTGTGGCGCTGCTCCTACTCTGTGGGGTCAAATCARTGAACAGACTTTTTAAAATTACTTAAATAAATGATTGGGGTTTTTCCTGGATGTTTTTTAGTAGATACATCAAATTTTGATGTGTTTTTTGTTTTCCCCAGGGCGAGGAAATCTCCTGTGGGCACATTTTGACCTGTGCAGGACTTCACTCTGACCGTTTGTCTGAGATCAGTGGCTGCAGCCCCGAGCCCCGGATCGTCCCWTTCCGGGGGGATTATTTGGTGCTAAAACCAGAAAAATGTTACTTGGTGAAAGGAAATATTTATCCAGTACGTACCCCCTGCTTTGTCTGTCCCAGCATGCTCTGAGAGCTGCTAAAAATACAGAAATAGGGCAAAATTCTGTGGTTATTCCATCCAGAGATGCACAGTTCAGGGATGGAGATTCAGTTGGTGACAGGGCAGCCTGGATTTTGTTAATTTTTGAGGAATACATGGAAACACCACCTGGGAAGTTACTGCCAGTTGGTTTGATTTGGTTGTGGTTTTGGGTTTGGGGTTTTTTTTTCTTAATAGGGAAAGGATGGAGCATCATGATGCCACATGTCCAGAAAATTCTGAATTCTTTCTCTATGTCCTAAAATAAATCTTTAGGCAGGATTCAGTTGTCAGGGAGTGACAATAGTAAATMATTATTTATTATTTAAATAGTTATAACAGCCCTGTTTAATTTTTTTATTGACAAAGGGATTGACTGTGCCCTGAGGAAGTTCACAGATGACACTGGAAGCCTTTTCCAATTTGAGTGATTCTGGGATTCTGTGATGAATTACTTGATGTAGGGTTTAACCTTTTGTGCTAATTCCCAACATTCAAATTTAGGTATCTTTCTCTCAAATTTATTTTTGAATTAGCTGATTTTGTCATAAAAAATTTGATTTTGTGATAAAAAAAATTCTGGGATTCTGTGATTAATTACTCAATGTAGGGTTTAACCTTTTGTGCTGATACCCAACATTCAAATTTAGTTATTTTTCTCTCAAACTTATTTTTGAATTAGCTGATTTTGTCATAAAAAATAGATATGGGAGAAAAAAGACAACATTTCTAWGACCTAAAACAGACAAATAATGGGATGAAGAAGAACAATCCCAGACAGAAAGTATAGTTCTAAAGCAAGGAGAGAGAATTTTTAGAGCAGCATTTTAACTGATTCTGCAGTTGAAATACTGCTTTTTCTGAATATGAGCTTATGTTTTCTTGCTAAACACTGAATTTTGAGGAAATTTGAATGCTGGCATTGGTGTTTGACCTCCTCTCACCTGGGGATGATTTAGGTTCCTGACTTGGAAAGTAAGGGAGGAACTGGAATTAAAAAAAAACCCAAACCAAACCTGCAGATATTTATTATTAGCATTACCCAGACCTGCTAAGTTCAGGCTGTTTTGTACACACCAGTGAGGGTTCCCTCATATTTTGTATTCTGTTTTATTGCAGTATAATTGCTCTTGGTGAATAACAACAGGATGTTGTTGGTTTTGTTGTGGGTTGATTTCTATCCTGAGAAATCAGGTGGATTTTTTTTTCCTYTGCTGTTTGTTTTCCTTTTCTCTRAGATTTAACTTTACCTGGCCCTGCTCTGTTCTTCAGTTSTTTTAATTAATGACATTCCATAACTGCACAATTAACCAGCAGCAAAACCAGCTCAGAGACAATTACGTGCTTCCGTGACTCAGATTTTCTTTGCTGTGGCTGGAAATAAAATGGCAAATTTTCTGTTTTTAACAGCTCTGATCACTCCTGTGTCCCCCTCCAGGTTCCCAACCCTCGKTTCCCTTTCCTGGGAGTTCATTTCACACCCAGGATGGATGGCAGTGTTTGGCTTGGYCCTAATGCAGTGCTGGCCTTTAAGAGAGAGGGCTACAAACTGTTGGACTTCAGCACTGGAGACTTTTTGGATGCTGTAACCTACAGGTAATGCTTTGTTTCTGTGTCAGCTGGGTGCTCTTGTTGAAATGTGACCCATGGGAGCCACTTCCTGCCCAAAATCCTACTTTTCCCGTGTTTTTGGTGTGTTTAATGGCAGCTGAGCTGATAAGGGTGACATTTGAGTTCATGTGGTGTATGTAATATTTGATTTTTTTACCAGGACATGTCTCAACCAGTCAGGGACTGGGGCTGCTCATTGGAAGGTGCTGGTGGAGCTCTTCCAGGGTTGCTTTTGGTCCAGTGCACTGTGATAAGTTAATTAACGTGGACAGTGTAATTAAATATCTGCAGAGGATGGTCGGAAGAGAGAAGGGCTGGGAGAACTGGAGGTGTCCAGGCTGGAGAAGGTTCCAGGGAGAGCTCAGAGCTCTTTCCAGTGCCTAAAGGGGCTCCAGGAGAGCTGAAGAGGGATTTGTGACAAGGGATGGAGGGACAGAACACAGGGAATGACTTCAAACTGGCAGAGGGCAGGGATGGATGGGACAAATTTCTCAAACAGAAGAAAGCTTTACAGGATTCCTGATTTTGGGAACGGGAACTTGTGCCAGGCAGTTGCATTTGCTGCCTCCTTCAGCAGCCGGTCCTGGGTGCATTTGGAGGCAGATTTTCCCTGCCTGCAGTTGTTTTTTCTCTCTGCAGTTGTTTTTGCTCTCTGCAGTTGTTTTTGCCCTCTGCAGTTGTTTTTGTTCTCTGCAGTTGTTTTTGCTCTCTGCAGTGGGCTGTGGAAGCTGGTGCTGGGGAACGTGTCCTATGGCCTGGGTGAGCTGTACAGAGCCTTCTCCCTCAGTGCCCAGGTGAGGCAGCTGCAGAAGTTCATCCCTGAGGTCACCACCAACGATGTTCTCAGGTAAAAGAAACCTCTTCTGCTCGGTAAACCTCTGATTTGAACAGCAGAAAACGTGGCTTGGGTTTAGTCCCTTCCTCCACCAAAATGTGACGCTAAAGCTTGGAGCTGCCTCCAGCTTGGAGATCCCTGCACAGGGGGGATCTGGAGCTGCTGGAGAGAGTCCAGACAACACCAGGAGGATCAGAGGGATGGAGCAGCTCTGCTGGGAGGAAAGGCTGGGAGAGCTGGGATTGTGCAGCCTGGAGAGGAGAAGCTTTGGGGTGACCTCACTGTGGCCTTGCAGGGCCTGGAGAGAACCTGCACAAAGATGGAGAGGGGCTATTCACAGCACCCTGGAGTGGCAAAACAAGGGGGAATGGCCTCAAACTGACAGAGAGTAGGGTTAGATGGGATATTGGGAATTGGGAATTCCTGACTGGGAGGGTGGGCAGCCCTGGCACAGGTTGCCCAGATTTGCTGTGGCTGTCCCTGGATCCCTGGCAGTGCCCAAGGCCAGGTTGGACGGGGTTTGGAGCAGCCTGGGGGATGGTGGGAGGTGTCCCTACCATGGATGGGGTGGAATGGGATGGGCTCTGGGAGGTTTTTTCCACCCTCAGTGATCCCATGGCTGCAGGACATCCCCCACTCTGCCTCCTTGCTGTTCACCTTCCCCCAAAAGGCTTTGTCTCCACACTCTGCCCCTTCTCACGGGAATCGAGAACAGATTTCCCTTTCTGTTGAGCTCCTCCTCCCTTCCCCAGGGGTCCCTCGGGGGTGCGAGCTCAGGCTTTGGACAGCCACGGGAAGCTGGTGGATGATTTTGTGTTCGACGGCGGCCGCGGCGCCGTGGGGAGCAGAATTCTGCACGTCAGGAACGCCCCTTCCCCCGCCGCCACCTCCTCCCTCGCCATCGCCTCCATGATCGCCGACGAGGTGGAGCGGCGCTTCGGGCTCTGAGCAACGAGTTCTGCCCTTCTGGAATGTGAGATTCCTCCTGAAGAACCACCAGGGAATGGCTGGGCAGTGCCAGAGAACCCTTGGGAATGTTCTCTGCCCGCAGCTCCTCGGTGCGGGTGAAGCCRTTGGTGTGGCCACCTGCAAATAGTCAAAAAATAAATCAATGCAAGAGCCAAGGAACTTCACTTTAAAAGAGRAGGAAAARGTACCAGACTGWTTCCTTCATTATATTAATATTCCATAAATACTGTATTTGATTCAGTGCCATTTTCTGCAACTTTTGAACGTCTTTGGCCACCTGAGCAGGACCAGCCCATGGGAAGATCACCAGAGATGGGAGAGCCCCTGTGGTGGGATTATCCACAAGGATTCCTCATTCCTKTTGGGATGGCTCTGAGTGTGCTTTCTCCCTGATTCCGTTTAAATTGGAGTCTGCAGTCCTCTAGATTACATGGAAGTAATGGAATAGAAGGATAAGCCCTGCTTAAGGGCCCTGCTGATATGGAATTAAAGGCTTTRTCAGAGATTGAGAACAATATTCAGAGCCTTCGACGTGAATGCGGAGYGTTTCGCAGAAAAATGAGCTTAAAGAGGATTACCAAACCCAAGTCAATTTAGATCTGCAGTTCAGATACCTGACCACTGTGCTTTTTATAGAGCTGAAATGAAAATATGGACATCAACAACCACTTTTCATTTAATTTACAGAAATCAGCTTCAGTGGGTTTGGGCTTTTCCTACCTCTGACTATTGGTGATGCAGAACGAGCTGATCTTTGTCCAGCAGCTTGAGCAATCCAGGGAAAATGGGCTTTGTGACAGCAAATGTGGAGGGAGGGAAGCTCCAGAAACCTGCCTGAACTGAGTCATGTTTTACATTGCTTCCCTTGCAGCCCCAACAGGGGTGAGGCAGGAAAGCTTCCCATTCCCAGAGCTGGCACCAGGGGAGCTCAGATGGTGCTGGTGACTCCTCTGAACTCCAGTGATCCCTAATTTTTATCAGAGATCCACCTGGAGGAGTCTGTGTGGAGAGGGATGCTGGGCGTGTTCTGCAGAATGGCTGTAAAATGGAATTTTGTGGCCTGAGGGACAGAGTATTGAGGGTTTTATAGCAGGTGCTCACAGGATGTTGGGTAACACATTGTGGGAAGGTCATGTCAGGATATTGGACACACATTTTTCCTTAAAAAGTTCTTTCCTGAGCTCTGATGGGMGTGGGTGAGCACGGGAGGGCAGCTGTGTGGCTGATTTTTACTGTACAGATTTGAGACATTTTTGAGGAGAAAAAAGGCCTTAATCAGCCTTTTTTTAATTTTTTTTTTTGTCCTGGTGACATCTACTCTACCAGACAAACAACTGCTGAAAATTCAAATAACAACCCTTTCAGAGCAAAGCTTTGGTCACTTCAGGCAGGGATTTAGCTGCTCCAAGTCTTCCAGTGCCACAGGGCTGAGTAAAACTTCCCACAGTGGAACAATCCTRTCTTCCCTCCCTGCCAGAAGTGTTGCCTATCAACAGTAAATTTTACAAAAGGATTGCAAAAGCAACTTCCTCCCACACGGGGTGTGGCCCTGACATGTATTAACAGAATGGAGAACATTAAAATGCAAAGCAGAGACCARGGGGAATCCTAAGTCAGCATTTCCCTGCGGTGCTTTTTCCTCTCAGGTGATGATTGTTTGGGGGTAAAGTTTATTTGAAACTTAAGTTATGAATCTTGAGGTAGCATTCTGTGAAATGTTAATATTTTCAGAGAGAAAAGTCTTAAAGTTTTGTTATAAAAATAACTTTGGAGATTATGCTGTCGGAGTTTCAGGCATCAATCTTGTTGCTCACAGAGTGTGAAAATGTGTTAATTTATTTTTCAAACAAGTTTAACTCACTTGGATGACTTCATAAATGTGCCTTTTTCTRTTCTGATTAAAATAGTGGGATGGGATTTTTTTTTTAAATACTGTAAAGTCTGTGTGTTTCTCCTGACTCAGAGAAAAGTTTCACTGGAATCTGCAAATTCTCAGCTGAGTTAGGCAGGAAATAGCTCTGTATTACAGGAATTACTTTAGGAGGGGGACACATGACCAAACTTGTCTTCCTAAATTGTCTTATCTGTGCTTCTCACACCTCACAGCTTCTCCTCACTCATCCTGAGGCTGATCTGGGCCTGTTGTGACAGGTGGGATGAGAATTCCTGAAACTCTGAATAAATGTTTGGACAAAAGTTATAGAATCATAGAACCCCAGACTGGTTTGGGTTAAAGGGACCTTAAATCCCATTCCATCTCTCTACCCTTCCACTGTCCCAGGGTGCTCCAAGCCCTGTCCAGCCTGGCCTTGGGCACTCCCAGGGAACAATTCCTTCCCAATATCCCACCTAAACCAGTGCCCAGCAAGRTCAGTCCTAAACTCTGGAAGGAGTAGGACCTCTTGGTCCATGGTTTGTACCACCATTATCCCATAATTGCCTTCTCTTTGCTCACAATTTGGGTTTGAGGAACAAGTGTCTTTCCATAGAAATTAATATTTTGTTGGGAATTTCAGACTGCTGTGATAGAAAGGAGCAGAAGGAGCTGTTGCTGCCTCTGGAAGCATCAGGTTCCTCCAGGGAATCTGTTACAAAGTGGGATCATGCTTTTCCTGGCAGAAAAGCACTTTTTTTTYCCCTCTCTGGTTTAATTTATCCACTCTCTTTGTGGACAAGGCTTAAAATGGGAAGTGAGATTCGAATATGGTGCTGTTAGGAAGGAAAAGAGGGAAAAGTTATCTGGATTTGGGTGATCAGTGGGTGGAGGGAATGGTAACAGTGGTGGTCTCTGGATTAGGGATGGAAATTGCCTCCAGAAAGGGAGGAATTCTGCCTCCAGAAAGGGAGAGAAACTCCTTCCAGGTACGGAGAGAAACTGCTGCCASGYAGGAAAAMAGCCTYCAAATWGAAAGGAAAACTGCCTYCAGGCAGGGATGGAAACACCCTCCAGCTTGGAAGAACAATATCCTCCAGAGAGGAAGGAAAATAGGCTGYAGGATGTGAGAAAAACTGCCCCCAGGTAAGGAAATAACATCCAGCTAGGAAAACAGGCTCCAAGCAGGAAGAAGAACAGCCTCCAAGTGAGGAGAGAAACTTCTTCCAGGTAAGGAAACAGCCTCCAAACAGAGAGGAAAACTGCCTCCAGGYAGGGAGCAAAAAATAATTCAGATAAGGATGGAACAGCCTCCAGGTAGGAAGAGGCACAAATCTCTCCAGGCAGAGAAATAACCTTCAGGTGGGGAGAGTCACGTCTTCCAGGTAGGGAGAAAAACTGCCTGCAGGTAGGAAAAAGAACATCATCCAAGGAGGGAGAGGCAGAATCTCTCTCTAGGTAGAGAAAAACACAGCCTACAGGTAGGGAAATAGCATCCAGGTAGGAATAAAAAACCGCCTCCAGGTAGGGAGAGGAACATCCTAAGGGTGGGGAGAGGCACAGCGAAACAACCTTCGGAGGGAAACAACCTTCGGAGAAGCTGACTCCAGACAGGGAGAGAAACATTCCTTCGGGTAGGGAAACATTCCTGAGGCAGGGAAATCTCCTCGGTGCCGGGAAATCTCCACAGTGCCGGGATATCTCCGGGGTGCGGGAGCGGAGAGCCGCCCGTCCCGCTCGGTGCTGCAGCTCC